GCAGAAGGGAAGTCACCCTCAGTCAAGGAACAATTAAAAATGAAGGAAATGACTGGAAGGATGAAATCAAGAATCGGCATCAATATATTGCGACTAATACCGTCACTACCGACAGCATTAGAGGTGATTGACAAAATGCTCTTTTTAACATCACAATCCGATAATCGAGCAAAGACAAATGGAGGAACGTCAGGCAATGGTAAAGAAGAAAGGTAGTCAATGGTCTTAGTTTTGTCAGAATTACTAATTCCAGATGATGAAGAAAAGTAAAGATTGAGGGAGTCAATATTAATATTATTTGGAACAGTCTCTTTACGAGCTTTACCGATGCCAAGTGACCTGAGGAACTTCCAAACTTTCGCAGGCTCCTCATTTTCGACAGAGGAATGAATATCACGGCGCATGGCGTCCCTACACACTGTATTGCAGCGATTTCTAGCCTTATTGTAATTTGCTTTGTTTTTGTCACTAGGATATTGCTTGTATCTACATTTTGCAGCAGCTTTGCGGTGTATTAACTTTTTAATATGCTCGGTAAGCCATGGCGCGGGAAGATGTTGGATTTTCATAGAGCGAAAAGGTGCATGTTTGTCGTATAGTTGTATTATAAGACTGTTGAAAATTGCAACCTGTTCGTCTATGGTTACAGCTTTGTATACTGGAGACCAGTCAATACCGCGCGCATCTTCAAGAAAAGCTCCCTGGTTCATACCACTAAAATTGCGCTGAAGAATAACTTTACGTTTTGCTTTAGGAGGGCGGATTTTATATGATAAAAACACCAAGTCGTGATAAGAAAAGACATCCGCTGGACATTGACCATGAAGGTAAACACGGCTTCAGCCAGGATTCTGATACTAATACAGCCTGAAGGTTTTTATTATTATAAAAAGACGCCAACAAATCCGTATAATGGGCCGGAATACTTTGCGCATTAATGTGAATAACGTTAAAATTCTTAGGTTAATCAGAAAAGTGACCCTGAAGAGTATCTGTGAGCGAAGGCAGGCTAGAATAGCTAACATTACTACTACACGAGCTATTTGGGGAAAGTGATAAAAAACTACAGTCGTTGCTATCAGAAGAATCAGACATTACTATGAATACTCCAAAATATAATATGATATAATAATTAAATAAATTAAATATATTAAAATAATTCTAAAATTATAAAAAATAAAGCAACTAGATTTATATCTACCTACAGGACAGAGTGTATTTATAAACGGAGTAATAATTATAAAAATAATATAATATAAGGGGCAATACGTATTACATAATTTAAAATATCAAGTGAAAATATCAAATGACGATATCAGGTATCGTCACGTAATACTTAAAACCTACTCCAATCCAAAGCCATAAAACAAAATGATATTTTAAAAAAAGAAATGATGACATCCAATAACATAACGTCCATAAATAATGAAGCTTAGCTAACTAAATTAACGAGAGTTTAAAAATTCTCTCTAATCTGTGGCTCATTCACAATCATCACACAGTTTCTGTCACAGAGTACCTTATTATAACCGGAAATGCATAGATGATACCTGATTTTAAAAGTTACTCTTGTGCATTAACTTTATAAACAGGCAACTGTCTGTTAATCTACCTGTTCTATATACCTGAATCTAATGCGTAATTTCGGTACTTGGCTTCATTTTCCTAGTTTACTATATAACTTATTTGTTTTTTATTATTTTAATACCAATGTATCTATTTGCAAACATAACCTCAAAATCATTCAGTGTATATGGTTTATAGAAGTTCTCAGGGGTGTCCGTCAATAATATTCGTTTCTACAGTAATTTATATATAATTTCGAATCTAGGAAACAATTTTTCATGATTATTGGTCTTTAGGCCAAACATGTATGGAAGCTGAGCAATCTCCTTTGCTCAGTAAATTAAAAAATATGAGAGTAGCAATCGACGATATTTTTATACATGCAAAAACTAAAGAAGAATTACACAAAACTGTTAGTGAAGTTATTGAAGTACTAAAGAAATCTGGATTCAAAGTAAACAAAAGCGAGTGCATTTTTGAAGCAATAAAAATTAAATCCCTGGGACACATCATCTCAGCCAATGGATTAGAAGCAGACCCAAACAAAGTAGAAGCTATTAAAGCAATGAAAACACCTTCAAATAAAACAGAGTTACAGAGACTACTAGGAATGATCACATACCTGAATAAATTTATACCTAACATGTCAAACCTAACAAATCCGCTCAGAGACTTGTTACATAAAAATACAAGCTTTACATGGGAAATTCATCATGAAGAAGCTCTTAACAAATTAAAACAGGTACTTCAGTGCTCACCAGTACTGAGATCTAAAAATCTCGGAGTTGCACTTCTTCAAGAAGGACAACCGATAGCCTATGGAGCAAGAGCGTTGACCAAATCTGAACAAAATTATCCACAGATAGAGAAAGAAGCGCTCGCCATACAGTTTAGATGTAAGAAGTTTCATGAATATGTTTTAGTAAACAACTGACAGTGGAATCTGACCATAAACCACTTGAGACAATCTTCAAGAAAGACATACAATCAGCTCCAGCGAGGTTACAAAGAATAATGTTCAACTTAGCACCATATTCACCTAAGGTCATATTTAAAAAAGGCACTGAAATACCCTCAGCAGACTTTCTAAGTCGAGACTGTGATGCATCAAACCTGAAATATAAACCAGAAGAAAATTAAAAAATTGCAGTTTTATTACCTATGTCTTTAGATGCTAAAGAATAATTAATTAATGCTACTAAAGAAGATTAACATTTTCAATTACTTCTTAAGACAATAATGCAAGGATTTCCAGAAAACATAAAAGAACTACCTACAGAACTACAGAATTACTTTAACTTCAAAGAAGAACTAACCTATCTGAAAGGAATTATCTTCAAAGGTGATAAGATTGTAGTACCTACATCACAAATCCCTAAAATGTTAAAGAATATTCATCAAGGACATCTAGGTATACAAAGTTGCTTAAGAAGAGCCCGATAATTTTTTTACTGGAAAGGACAATATGATGATATAAAAAAGCTAGTCACAGGTTGCTCTGTCTGTGAACAAACACAAAGAGACAATATCAAAGATATAGTACTAGTTAAAAAGATTCCTACACTGCCATGGCAAATATTTGCATCAGATTTATTTTAATTAAAAGGAAAATCTTACCTTGTAATATGCGACAGCTACTCTGGATACTTAGACTTTCAACAGCTAAAAGGTCAGTCATCATATGAAGTCATTGAACAACTTAAAAGATGGTTTTCTACTCATGGTGTACCAGAAGAGTTAGAAACTGACAATAGAACACAGTATTTGTTTAGAGAATTCAAGATCTTTCAAAAACAATGGAGATTCAACCATGTCACGTCTAGCCCACATCCCCACCAAGGCAATGGACTTGCTGAAAGAACAGTACAAACAGCAAAAAACATGTGAGAAAATGTAGCATTGACAAGTCAGATGTTCAACTTGCTTTATTGAACTGGAGGAATACTCCACGAAATGAAAACTTAGGTTCTAGGTGAACCTAAGTTTCTTCAGCAGAATTACTAGATCTCCAATACCTACATGTGATAATCAGTTAAAACCAAAAATAATACAAGGAGTCCCAGCTGAACTACAAAGATTAAGAGAGAAACAAGCTTATTACAGTAATAAACACACTACAAGACCAGTAAATTTTGAAATCAATGACAAAATCAGACACAAAGTTGATCACCAACGCTGGGAAGGGGCAAGAGTTATAGAAAAGCCTAAAAATCTACCAAGATCTGTAATAATTCAAACAGATAAAGGCCACATCTTAAGAAGAAACTTTAGTCATCTGCACAAGACACAAGTAGAAATAACCAGCAACAGAATAGTAGTACCGGAAACTAAATACACAGATGAACCAGTTGTACAACAGATTCCAGCACAAGCTAAGTCGCCGCTTGTTCCTGAGACACCCCAGTATCAACATATCCATCACCAAGCAATTCCAATAATATGCTAAAGTCAAACTTGGCTCAATCAGCTATTGCACCAAGAGCATCAAGATTCGGTAGAATAAATTAAACCCATAAATAAACTTGATCTTTAATATTATTTAAATTTATAATGATAATAATTAATAAGTACTGTAGTGTTGTGTCATGTATCTTAATTTATAATCATGTAATAACTATTACCTAATAATATCTTGTTCTATAAAATAATATAAATTATAAATTGTCAGTCATATTGTAAAAGCCTAAATTTGTAATAGAATTGTTTTGGTTTATTTATAAAGAAAGGGAGATGTAAAGTAGATACATCACTAATGTCATGTCACATCACTTTTGACATATTATTATATAGCGCCAATTCGTAAGCCAAATAAAACCGCTCATCTATTATCTCAGACGTTTTATTCGGATCTCTAGTTGTGACATAACTATAATAGTTAGACATATGGTATTGCGTACTTTTTTGTGGATATTGATATCCTCTATAAAACTTTCGTACTAATTTTAGTGTCTAATCCTATTGAACAAATGTAGTCACACTGCAAGCGATTCGCTGAAGTAAGTGACTTGCGTAGTTCTGGCTTGTTTTCTAGCTAGGCTTTATCATTGTGGGATTTTTATAATAGCGTTTCTTTTCGTTGGAGCCGAGAACCGACATGTCACACTGGATGAACTAAATCTGTAAATTTTCTTTGGCAAGGTAAGTAGTGCACATACCCAAATATCGTCAATTCGAGTTGCGATTGACAGAAAAAAAGAGTAGGTAGTACTTATATCGTTGTTGTACTAATAAAAAATTGTTTGTACGAACAGAACATTATATGTACTATTTGCGGTATACTGATTCAAAATATATAAAATAAAAGAAACATTTTAAATTAAATAAATATGAATTGTTTTCATGTATTCTTATATTAAAACATATAATGTTTTTATTTACACTATTGTTATAACAAACAACAACAAAGTAGTAACAAAAATATAAAATTGAATTATTTGACTTAGTGTCCCTTCTTAAAGCCCCAGTGTTTGTGGTCTTCGTGTCCACCCTTCTTGCCGTGGTCGTGGTGGTGGTGGTGGTGCTCGTGGTGGCCTTCCTCATCGTGGTGTCCCTTGTGGTCATGGTGGTGTCCGCCCTTCTCGTGGTGGCCCTTCTTGCCATGGTGGTGCTCGTGGTGGCCGTGATGGTGGTGTCCCTTGTGGAAGTGACCTCCCTTCTTATGACCATGTTCGTGATGGTGTCCACCGTGGCCTTCTTCGTAGCCAGAATCTCCATGCTTGTCGTGGAAGTGCTTGTCCTTCTTGAACTCATCTATTTTGTGAACACCATGGTGACCCTTGGTGGAGTGACCTTTGTGGTAATGGCCTTTTTCTTCGAAGCCGTGCCCCTTCTCTCCCTTTTCTCCATGGTGGTGCTCATGGTGGTGGCCGTCGTCGTGGTGGTGATGCTTCTTGTGTCCACCGTGCTCGTCGTGATGGCCCTTGTGGCCTTCATGGTGGTGGTGTCCTTTTTTGCCATGTTCATGGTGATGATGCCCCTTGTATCCTTTATGGCCTTTGCCACCATGGTCGTGGTGGTGATGATGATGGTGTTCCTTGCCACCACCTTTCTCATGATGATGCGAGGCCGCCGGTTCCAAGTCTGCGTCCCGTTTCTCGCGCAGGTCTCTTGCGCTGGCCAACGCCATCAGGAGCGCTAATGCGCCCAAAACGAGAACCGCTCGCATTGTTGTTGACGCCAGCAGACCTTGTTACAGTGTACTCGTGTTAGCAATGAACAATGACTTTTTATACAGACATCAGTTTTCTCTCTGTCCATGTTGGCTAATCGTTGCAGCCCAGTGGTGCTTGCACTCACATCCAAGGTCAATAAAACTCAGGTGTTTGCTTAGTACGCACGAATACCATCTTAAACTTTGTTAATTTTGTACCTCAATAAAATATAATTAGAATTACATAATGTAAAATAATTAAAACATTTTATAGATAGGTACATAAATATTTATCTAGTTGTATTGTATATACAGCAGATAAGCATTTATTAGTTTTTTTGGACAACCATTTCTTGGCTGTTTGTTACTGGATAAACGTACCCCAAATCAACCTAAAACCATCAAGATAGCCCATAAAGTTCACATGATCACCTAAGGGCTAAGAAGGCTCTTAAATTCGAACTTATTAAGTTGAGAACCAAACTTTTCCTATCCATAACAAAACTAAAAATAAATGTATTATAATTTTCTGACCTATCAATGAGAATATCAATAGTGAGAATGACACTGCTTTATATATGTGTAGGTATGTCAGTAATAATAATAATAATATACAAATAAATATATTTCTACCAGCAAAGTATAACATGTACAAGGTAATGAAAATAATGATAATATTTAATAAAAACTAAAAATTAATTATCATCTTAAAATTCAATTAAACTAATAAAACTGAATACATTAAAAACAACAAAAAAAATATTGTTGAAACGTCAAAATTAAATACCTAATTTATTTAAAATAAAATGTCTAGATGAAAATATCAAAACGAAAATAAAATGTCAGAATGTTATGCCCTAATACTTGCCCTATACTTTTCTTACAATACTTTTTCATATAAAACACTTTTCAATGGGTTTAAATTGCTTTTTTAATACTTTTATAAATATGTCTACGTTTCGCGCCCTGCAAAGGACATGGGAATGAAAAAAGTGAAAAATATTACACGTAAAAATGAAATAAAACATGATTTATAAAAGTATTAAAATCTCATTTTAAATCCGGTGAGAATTGTTTCATTTAGTTAATTAGTGTGCGTGAAAACATAAGATATAAATAGAATATTTTTTTCTAAATCTAGTATTTTAAGAAGAGTTAACAATCCTACGATGCACGAAGTACCTAAACTACGTTAGATATCCGCAGCTTTAATAGACAAGTTTTGCTCGCAAAACCAGTGCTAATCAAATATGGCTTACCTAGGAAAGACTCTGCCGAGCAACCGCAAATGAGATTTTTAAGAGCTACGTTACGGTAGAGAGCGCAAACTGGTGAAAATGTAAAAAAAATATTGCAGCTGCTTCGGAGCTGAGTTTCATCTTTGACATTTTACCTGCGAACGTTTCATTAAGTACTTTTAGTGAGTTTATCATTTAAAATTATGTGACGGAAATGTGTACATGAATCAAGTAGACAAAAGGGATGATGACTATTTTTTTTTCTTCGTTTATCAGGTAGATTATCTAAAAGTTTTGGACAGGTATTTTTCCTTTTTTCACATAATATAAACATTGCAGAGATATATTGATTTGAAAAGTCGCATGACGTTACGTTTTGGTACAATTTTCACTTAAAAGTGACGTCACATGCCTCTACTCCTAAACTTTGACGCGCTATAACTTAATCATTTTTTGGTTGATTGTCCAAAGAAAAAAAACGTATGCATTGTTTTTTGATCATCTAACTGACGGACTAAATAGAATTTCGTTTACTGTACCCCGTCATCATCCCTATTAAGGTTTCCTTGTAAATTTTTAATAATGTTGGTATTCCATGTGTAAGGATAAGACATCTTAAACATAAATAGGTGTCGATTTTGGTATGATTCTCTAAACTTAAAACTAAATTTCACAACAGTCTCTCCTTTTCATTCTGTATAGATAATGACAAGGATACACAGTTATCAAATTTAGGTTTAGATTTAGAGAATCATGTGTGAAAATACACCATTATCTAAGTAAATTAAATATTTTCTCCTTTTCCTACAGTACTGAATAAAACTTAGTTTAAAATAATTAACACTTCTAAGTGTTTGTCATTTGATTTATCGTGATTGTGTGAGTGGCACTCGGTATATAAAAATTTCAAAAAATCAAAATAACAGATTATATGCGCCAAAATTAAACATTTTGAAAAAAAAAGTATAAGTATTTTTATAACCCGTCAAGCGAGGTATCAAAGTGAAGGGTTTTAAAATAATATTTAGAAAATATACAACTCGTGTAATTAAAAATAATGAAATTAAAATGTCGAAAATAAAAAATAATGTACTAAAAAGAAAAAAACAAGTCCAGTAGTCTAGAATTCTGTTTAATAAGGAAAAAAGTTACTTTAACAGTCGGGACTCATTAGAAATTCTAGAATGTATCGAATTTTCTCAATATTGGGTAAATCAACTAAATATAGATGTCCTGGCCTACATTCTCTTTCATATTTCTTAAAATAAACTAACACCCATTGAGTACTGTTTGTAATTGAGGAGTTCCATTGTTTTCCTCCGAAAGTACTCTTCAGATCTCCAGTAAATTAGTATGCAGCCATCTCGCTAGTAAACTGATTAAAACAAAAAAAGAATCATCATGAACGGTCCACGAATCTCGGAGATCTGCGCGAACAACAATAAAAAAAAAAAATAAGACGCATTGCGAACCTCTTTCTTTTCGAAATCGGTTAAAAATTTTAATCAACCTTTTGAGGTAATGCATACGTAATAACACGCCGGAGTCCTCCTTTAGTTGTATATAAGTCTTGAGCTTCAAAATGAAGACTAAAAATGACACTACTACTTAATTGTTTGGAAATCATTCATTTTCCAGTCATTTCTCCATACTACATTTTCTTTAGGAAATCTGATAAAAAAGAATAATAAATAATAGATTGAAGTTAATGTCAACCCAATTTCCCATATTTTAGGTAATATGGTTACATGAACATTGGCAACACTGGGCTTTAGACTAATCATTTTGTCCTTAGAATGAAAATTGAATTCGATTTCTAAAAACTGGAAAAAAGTGATTAAATAATTCATTTGCCTATGAAACGTGATTCCTGGATTTTTTTTCTTTCGGTCACTACGGTTTTTACACCATTTTACCACGCAAGACATCTTGTTTAACTTATTTTTATCTCCACGTAACGTGTCGGCTGCTTTGACGTTTGCACGCGTAATGGCTGTCTATGGTGTGAATGTGTGTGTGCCGGCTTGTACGTATAGCGACCTGGCCGACTCTGAGCGACACAGTTTGTTGTTTACCGGGACTCTGTCCGCCTTTTTTTATACGTCCATGGTTGCAACACAACTGTATCTTCTGCGACCAAGGTTGCGGCCACAGTCACGACTGGCCGTGGTCATGGGTGTCTAGTGTGCAAGGTGCCTAAAAGGAGTCGTGGATAGACACAGATATTAAATTTGTGTGGGTAACGGTGTTGTGTACTTTAAAATATGATCATTTTCTTCTGTGCCTTCATACAAAAATTGTGATGTATTTAACGTTTTTGCTCTTCCTAGTATATACATACCTAAATAAAAATATTTTTTTCATAGAAGTTAGTTTTTTAGTTTCTCAAAACTTTCTGAGTGTCCCACGTATACATTGCTTCTAAACTGATTATCAATAACAATAAATAATAGTAATAAGAATATCTATTCAACATTAATCATTTAACATTAATGTTGAATAGATATTTTGATTTAAAATAAAGTAAGTAGGTACTAAAATGAACATTTTATTTCTTGCTTTATTATATTTTTACTTTAAGCATTTATCTCCTGGATGTAATTTAAAGAAAAAATTTTCTCGAAATCTATTCTATTTAATTACCAAATTATAAACTTTAGCAAAGGTTAAGATTAATTGCAATGAGGCAGCAAATGCATTAAAATTCTTCTTAGTTTCCTTGTGAAACCGATGGTCGATGTTAATGCACAGCAGTTTCGTTATTGTCTGGTAGTCTCGTAGGTGCGCGCGGCCCCGACCCCACAATTAATGTAGAAATCGGAAGGAAGCAATAATAGAATCTCGATTACGTAGTACCTACTAAACTTTCGGACGTTTGGTGCAATATTTCAATACCTAAGTTATCTATATATCTAATTATTAATAATAAAAAATCAGTTAGCACAGATAAAATAATACTATGTAATTAATGTACGCAAATATGCAATAAATATGTATACCATAAGCGGTAATATGAATGCTTAATTAAATATAATATCATATTTTCCTGACCTGAAGTTTTGAATCTTACTTACTTCTTAAACTTAAATACTTATTAGTACCAGTATAGGTTTTCCGTAATATTCAATCTCACTTATGATATCATTTATTCGTATTTCCGACAGATGTCAAATATCTAATACTGTCTGCTTCTACAGACATAGCGACATTTTGCCGTGTAGTAGCGTAATGCATATCAAACTAATGTCTGAAATAGCAGCTACCGAAATCGTACCCTACAATATTGCAAGCTCAAACGAAATAATTATAGTCCATAGTTCAAACTAAATAATTATAATTAATTGTGAAACACAGGTATTTTTCTATAAAATATATTTCTTTGTCATATAAACATAATAAAACACGTCAACAAACAACAATAAGTCAAGGGTGGGCAAGAATAGTTTAGTGTCCCTTTTTGTAACCCCAGTGCTTATGGTCTCCATGGTCTCCCTTGTGTCCGTGGTCGTGGTGGTGGTGGTGGTGCTCGTGGTGGCCGCCCTCGTCGTGGTGTCCCTTGTGGTGGTGATGGTGTCCTCCCTTCTCGTGATGTCCCTTATGACCATGATCGTGATGATGGTGGCCGCCGTGTTTGTGTCCCTTGTGGTGATGGCCTCCCTTCTTGTACTCTCCTTCGTGGTGATGACCACCGTGATGCTCATGGAATCCTTTCTCGCCGTGGTGGTCATGGAAGTGCTTGTCTTTCTTGAACTCGTCGAGTTTGTCCACTTCGTGGTGGCCTTTGGTGTCGTGTCCCTTGTGCCAGTGCCCATGCTCCTCGTGGCCGTGGCCGTGATCGCCCTTCTCGCCGTGATCGTGATGATGGTGATATCCCTCGTCGTGGTGGTGGTGTTTCTTGTGACCGCCGTGTTCGTCGTGGTGTCCCTTATGGCCGTGGTGATCGTGATGGCCGTGATGACCGTGATGGTGGCCGTGGTGTCCCTTGTGCCCTTTGTGGTCGTGGTGCTCGCCGCCGTGGTGGTGGTGTCCGTGATGTTCATGACCGCCACCCTTATCCCAGCCACCTCCGTGACCATGGCCGTGATGGGACGCGGCAGTTTCTAAATCCGCCTCCCTTTTCTGAATTTCCCTACAGCTACATAATGCCACGAAGGCTATCACACCCGCAAATACGAGGAGGCTTCGCATGTTCGGTTCACTTCCTTAGCCTGTGAATGATAACTTTTAGAGAGACAAAGATTTTATATACAGTTCGTTGCTACGATTAAGTAATGCAGCGTTCAGTATTGTCAAGGTTGCTTTTCAGGTGTTTCATGAAGGAAGAGTGTTTTAATTATAAGTAAGAAGATTTATATGACTTTCTTAATTGTAAATTTATATTTCAACCAATTAATTACAAAATAAAACATGAACGTTATATTTAAATTATTATTGGGTACTCTTAGTTATGAATTTAAAACAATCTTAGTAATATAATTAATCTATTTATGAATTTGTTTGTTTTATAAAGTTTATTCATTTTTTTTCATGTTGAATGTTTTTTGTTATTATTATTAAAATTTCACTTCAAACGTACGTTGGTTTAGACCGACTGACAGACCTTCTGTCGCGATACGCAGGTGAAAAGCGCAGAAATATCCTTTTTACCGATAAAAAAAATTTCACGATTGAAGAACACTACAATAAGCAAAATGATAGAGTGTACGATCACAGTTCTAAAGGAGTTGCTCAAGTGGTCGGAAAGGTACAACGTGGTCATCAACCTGCGTCAGTGATGATTTGGTGGGGCGTGTCTTATCAAGGAGTCACAAAACTACATTTTTGTGAAAAGGAGTGAAAACTTCAGCCAAAGTGTATCAAGATACAGTGTTGGATCATGTTGTGAAACCACTCAACAATACACTTTTTTAAAATATACCGTGGACTTTCCAGCAGGATTCTGTACCTGGTCACAAGGCACGAACTACCCAAGCCTGGTTTGAAACCAACGTTCCGGACTTTATAAGAGCTGAAGACCGGCACTCATGTAGCCCAGACCTCAACCCTTTAGACTTAAAATTATGGTCAGTTTTAAGGAACATGGCCTAAAAAGTGCTTCACGCGCGTTTCGGGGTCATATTCGTGGGAGAGCCACGCAGTAGCTTAGCATGAATGGGCCGGCTCGACCGGATGAATACCACGACCTCACAGAATACCGGCGTGAAGCAGTACTTTGTACTGTGTTTCGCCGAGTGAGTGAGGGTACCGGAGCCCCCCCCCCCCCTTTCCTCATGATGGCGTAGTTAAATAGGATGGTACCCCAGGGGGGTACCAGCTGTTTTCATGCTGGAGAATCCCCCTCTGGACGTCCATGCCCAGAACTGTCTCCTTCTGGACGTGGACGTCGAGGCTGTCCTTCGTATTCTGGGAAGGGCGAAACCGCGCTCATTGCTGAAGCTGCTCGAGGCCGGAGCAAGCGTCATACGTCACCCCCTGCCATGTTTAACGTGGATTTCTGCAATATCAGGGGCTTCCACTCCAACCTTAATGCTGTTCACTACCACCTTCAGACAGTGCAGCCGGCCTTGCTCTTTTTTTGACTGAGACGCAGATATCCTCTCCAGCCGACACCTCCTACCTCCAGTACCCTGGGTATACTTTTGAACATTCCTTTGTACCACGGGCTGGGGTATGTGTGTACGTTAAAGAGGGTATCAGTTTCCATCGCCTCTTTGAAGGTAGGGTTTGATCTTATGGTTGCGTGTAGACGTCGATGACCATCTCCGCGTCTACGCCTGCCTCTACAGGTCCCATAGCGGAAATGCCGAAACTGACCGACTCTTTGATCACGTCCAGGTGGCTACAGACTGCGTGCTTCAGCAGATCCCATCATCTGAAATTGTGATCCTTGGCGATTTCAATGCCCACCACTCAGAATGGCTTGGATCGCCCACTACCGATCATGCAGGCAGATCTGCTCATGACTTCGCCTTGGCCTATGGTCTGACACAACTGGTCACCTCGCCTACGCGAATCCCAGATGTCGTAGACCATACACCTTCACTGTTGGACCTTCTGCTGACTTCACATCCGGATAATTACAAAGTGTCCATAGATGCCCCTCTTGGCTCCTCGGACCATTGTCTAATCCGGAGTATGGTACCACTCACTTACTCACCGCGGCCGCAATTTGCTGGCTGTCGTCGTGTGTGGCACTATAAGTCAGCAGACTGGGATGGGATGCGCACTTTCTTTTCATCCTACCCTTGGAGCCAGGTTTGCTTCTCGCAGAATGATCCCAACGTCGCTGCCGATTCTGTCGCCGATGTTGTCCTTCAGGGTATGGAACTTTTTGTTCCTTCCTCTGTGGTTCCCATTGGTGGCAAATCCCAGCCTTAGTTTGGTCACTACTGTAAACTGGCATCTCGCCAAAAACAGTTGTGTTATCAGGCCTGGGCAAACGCAGCGGCGGTCGGGGATAACAACACTAGCGATCTCAAAAAGAAGTATAACTTGGCCTCCAGGTCCTGTAAAAGAGTAATTGCCAGAGCGAAGTCAGAGAACATTAGCAGCATTGGCGAGAGATTAATAAAACTTCCCTCTGGAACACGCGCGTTTTGGTCTCTTGCCAAGGCTGTTGAAGGAAATTTTTGTAAACCATCCCTTCCACCCCTGCACAATGGCGCCGAATCGATGGCCCATACTGCAAAAGAGAAAGCGGATCTTTTATGCTCACTCTTTGCGTCTAACTCGACTTTTAATGACAGGGGATACATACCGCCGACCATCCCGCGGTGTGAGAGCTCTATGCCGGAGATCCGATTCACACAAAGCTTAGTGCGTAAAGCACTCTTTTCCCTTGTCATCCATAAGTCAAGCGGGCCTGATGGAATCTCACCAATTGTGCTGAAGACGTGTGCTCCTGAGTTGGCTCCGGTACTAACGCGTCTTTTCCGGCTCTCTTACTCTTTAGGTGTCGTTCCGAACTCATGGAAGACAGCTTTAGTGCACCCGATTCCTAAAAAAGATGACGCTCACTCCCTACTAATTATAAGCCTATAGCCATCACCTCCTTGTTCTCCAAGATAATGGAGTCCATTATAAATTGCCAGCTCCTGCGGTACCTAGAGGACCACCAGCTGATCAGTGACCACCAGTACGGTTTCCGTCAGAGTCGCTCTGCTGGTGATCTACTAGTATACCTGACTCATCGTTGGGCAAAGGCGATCGAGACCAAGGGGGAAGCATTGGCGGTTGGTCTGGATATCGCGAAGGCCTTCGATCGGGTTTGGCACAAAGCGCTTCTTTCGAAGCTTCCTTCTTATGGGCTTCCTGAAAAGCTGTGCGGTTGGATCACTAGCTTTCTTGCGGACAGGAGCATCAAGGTCGCAGTCGACGGTGCATGCTCGGACTCCAAATCCGTAAACGCTGGTGTTCCACAAGGCTGTGTGTTATCGCATACGCTGTTTCTTCTTCATATCAATGATATGCTTCAAATTGATGGCATTCATTGTTATGCAGATGACAGCACGGGTGATGCCCTATATACCGGCCGCGCCAACATTTCACGGGAAAACGTCATCGAGTGCCCGAACAAACTTGTGTCTGAAGTCGAAACTTTGTTAAACCGAGTAACGAATTGGGGTCAACTTAATTTAGTCCAATTTAACCCTACGAAGACACAAGTATGCGCGTTCACCGCAAAAAAATACCATTTGTCGTATCCCCTCTTTTTGAGAACACTCCTCTAACTGCCTCAGCTAGTATTGGAATTCTTGACGTTGACATATCGAGCGACGTCCAGTTTCGGGATCATTTAGAGGGCAAGGCCAAATTGGCCTCTAAGAAGCTTGGTGTGCTCAATAGATCGAGTATGTACTTCACACCGGCCCACCGACTGCAGCTTTATAAGGCACAGGTTCGCCCTCACATGGAGTACTGCTCTCATCTTTGAGCGGGGGCACCCCAGTACCAGCTTCTCCCTTTGGATCGTAGCCAGCGCCGAGCGGCTCGAATCGTCGACGACCAGGACCTTTCCGATCAGCTTGATCCTTTAGCTTTGCGTAGGGATGTAGCTTCGCTCTGCAACTTCTATCGCATTTATCACGGGGAGTGTTCTGAGGAATTGTTCGGATTAATTCCAGCTGCTGCATTTCGCCATCGTACATCGCGACAAAAATTTCATCCCCATCATCTTGATGCGTGGCTATCCACAACCGTGCGTTTTTGTCGAAATTTTTTACCACGTACGACAAAACTGTGGAAAATGTTGTCGCCAGCAGTGTTTCCGGACCGATACGACCCAAAAACCTTCAAAAAAAGAGCGTACTTCTTCCTTAAAGGCCGGCATCGCATTTGTGATACTCCTGGTGTTGCAGGTGTCCATGGGCGACGGTGATCACTTACCATCAGGTGAGCCGTTTGCTCGTATGCCCCTTTTATATAACATTAAAAAAAAAACCAGCGTACAACCAGAGCTCGAGTGGAGTTTGCCGCGACGGTTTCGGCCCAATGGAGGCATCCGTCGAATTGATGCCGGGAGGACTGCATCGACCCACTGCATGCAGGGAGACCCGTAGAAACGGCTGACCCGCTGGCCGCCCGTGGCACAGTACACGAGCCCGAACGTTCTTGCAGTTCGCAAGGCTGCCCGATAGGGCTGTGCACATAATAATGTTACGCATAATCTCGGGGTAGACCATCGTGTCGGTTGGTGACCGGGGCGTGTGGTCCCGGCGGCCACTTTTGGGGGGGTGCGGGGGCCCTACCGTCCGGTGGATCGGCGTATCTCTTTCTTAGGTAGTTACTCGGGAAAACGTGCCTCCACATATTTGCCTGACTTTATCGCAACTATCTCCACTCGATTCACGTCTCTCAATTTTTTCTCATGATGGCAGCCCGTAAAACAAAGTTGGGTTGTACAGCGGTGTACACGCCTTCCGCGCTGTTTGAAGTCGAGTTTTGTAATATACGCGGACTCCACTTTAACCTGGCAACCCAGCCACTAAGTGAATATTTCGCTTCCGTGTTTTTAATTTCTGAAAAAGTGTTATTCAAACGTAAACAAAACATTGATGTCAGCATTGAAGCTATCGTATAATCTACAACCAGTGATATCGTTTTTTCTGTGTTTTGATCACTAGAAGCAGCAGAAGAACAAAAAAAGTTAAGATATAATTTTGTACTCACTGCTTGTTTGAAATTTGACTACCCACCTTGTGAGTGATTTTTTATTTGTCAAGTTCAA